GCCATCGATTTTGGATCACTTGTTGTTCCCTTGTCCCTGGGGTTGTTAACACCACTTCCTTTCCCCTGCCTTTCCCTCTCCCATGTACCCCTGGAACCTCTGATCGGTCCATTGTTTTCTCCTCCAGCTTGTTTATCCCACCTATCTTATCTAGATAGACCTGCAGAGATAATAATATGCACAAGAAACATGGCAGGGCAAAACAAAGCAACAAAAGAAAACAAAACAACAACAACAAACCAATGACAAAAAGAAAGAAAGAAAAGCCTGTAAATAGTTCAAGGTCTGTTTGTTGACCTTTAGGAGTGTTTTCTGTTTGAGTTTGATGGGGTGCCATGCCCTGGCCCCAAAGTCTATTTTTGGTATTCCCTTGGGACTTCCTTGCTCTGCTCCCCTTGCTATTCTGTTGCACGCCCTTAGTGTTTTGCTTCGGTATGGTGGGATCCGATTGGGTGCAATTCCCACATTGTGTCTCCAGTGTTGTCCCTTGTAGGGCTATGGGTCATTGAGGGATGTTGTGTCTCGTAGTGGGGCCAGCCATATAGTCCTCCCTGTGCATTGGCTGCTCTGAGCAGGGACATCATCCTCCAGGCTTGGTGGGCCAGGATGTGCTCCACTCTCTCTTCCTCCCCCTTCATTTGCTGTCGTGTGCTCTGATCAGACACGTCCCTCTCCCTGAGCTGTAGCTTCAGTGATGTCCTCTCAAGTAAGTTCTTCTTGGGGGAGGGGGAGCTGTCTACCTAGCTGGGATTGGGGGCAGCCCCTCAGACCTCTCTATTGGTTCCCTGGTTCATGCCGGTATATTGCATTCATGTCTTGGAGCACCGGGTTGAAGTCTGGTCCCTCTTTCCCTGTGGAGATCTAAACAGTACTCTCCCCTTGTGTGAGTGAGTGCCTTGTGCCCCTGCTACCCATGGAAGACTTCACTTTCAAGAAAGCTTTTGTTGTCCCCCCTACGCTTATTCCTGGATGCCTTGCATTGGCAAACCCACTGCCCCAGACCTCTAGACAGCATTAAAGAGCAAAGACATCGCGTTGAGAACTCGGGTGCCCCTGCCCAAGCTGCGGTATCGTCCATTGCCTCCCACACGTGTGAAATCTACACAACGAACAAGGACGATCAGAGAAGCAGGACGCGCTGGTGGTGTTGCTGCCGAGGAAGACGGAAGCAGCAGGAAGAAGAAGCCCATCTGTCCGGAAGGAAGTCCAGCCAGAGGCGCCTTCGGAAGACCACGTGCACGGACATGCGCACCACGATGAGTGGGACAGCCACTTCCATAACACCAAAGCCGTGCGGATCACCCCAAACCCTGATGATGGAAGAGTGGACACACACCCCTGGAACATTCCTGCAGTGGAATAGTATGCAGCCACTGGAGCCAGCGAGACTCTCTTCAACGCCGCACGACGCGGCCTGAACTAGAGAACAGTATGCTTAGCAAACGTAGTCACTCTTACAAAGATAAATATGTAATAACTCCATTAGTGGGGGGGGGGGGCAAACAGATGAAACAAAGGAAAAGATACATGGATTTTACACCAAGAGAGGACACTTTGATGATACAAGGAGGCCAGGGCTAGGGGCAGGAGCAGGGAGCGGGGAGGGATAGCATATTGAGAAGAGACCGATGGTGGGGGGAGAACCACATTGAGGGACGGTTTAACGGGATGTTGTTTTCGATCTCTTTATTGAGGTGGACTGTGTACCTACATGCAGCATGCTCTTAATATACATAGCTATACCTCCAGATTGCTCGCCTCTCAGACCTAAAGGGTTTCAGTGGCTAAAAAGGAAGGAGGAAAAGTGAAACTGAAATTGGACGTGGAGTCTTTAGAAACACATAAGTTTGTCCCAAACATAGGAAACGGACGAGAAGAATGCTCCTAGGCAGGCAGGATGGGGAGCCCATCTCGCGCACCTTGGACTTGTGCTCAGAAGGAGCCAGTCGCCGAGGAAGACACCATGCCTGGAAAAGTCCTGAGTCAGTGACAAAGAAGAGGACCCACAGGAGATGGGTAGACAGTGGCGGCATCAAGGGGCGCTAGCATAGCAGCCCCTGGGAGTGGCCCAGGGCGGGGCAGTGTGCCCTGCTGTGGGACCTGGGCCCCTTGGGGGTTGGAATAGGCTGAATTCCCTAACAACCCAAACGGGAATGAACCCAGGAAGACCTTCACGGGGCCTGTGAGCACAGCTTGGTCTCTGGGGGCCCGGAAGCCGGATCCCTGAGAAGGACGACACCCCGTGAGTTCTCACCAGAGAAAGGTTCCCCTTCTCTGCCCACAGTCTCGCTTCTCTCCCCTCCCTTCCCACCCCTTCCCTCTCCGTCTGTCCCTATCCCTCCCTTGAGAGACAAGGATCCCTGGCCCAGGCCCACATGGGGGTTGTCACCACCACACCTGGGCCAGCCTCCTCCCTGTTCCGGCTCCAGACAGCCCTGCGCTGCACCCAGATGCCCCTCTGTGTCCCTGAGTCCCCGGCCCGCCATCCCCAGACCCAGGCTTCCTGCACACTCACCAAAAGGAGGCCCATAAAGAGGGTCCTCCCCCCACTCAGGCCCCTCAGGCACCCCCAGCTGAGGCCACTCTCCCACCCACTCAGTGGGCCACCTGCCTGTCACCTTCCCCCTCTGTGTAAAGATTCCTCGGAGAGCCCGCTCAGACTCCCACCTCCCTGCCTCCCCACTGGGCCTCATGCTCAGGCGCTCCATCCAAGTCCTGTGTGCAGAAGGAGAGGCCCGCCCTGCTGCCTCCTCCCAGGGGGTCGTTCTGCGGGGATGGACAGATGCTGTCAGCGTCCTCATGCAGAGTGCCTCCCGTGATCCCTCTCCACCTCCCTTCCCATCACACACCTGCCTCGCTGTCCAACCAGGGAAGAGCTTCGGTCCGGAAATTCCCCTCACCTGGGAGCCAGAGAAGCAGCAGGGCTGGAGGCAGCCACAGGGCCCAGGCCCGCTGGGTCATTCCTCCACAGAAGGGGCCACCTGAAACAGCCCGGGTCCCAGCTGGACGCCGAGCCTCATCCCTGCTCACGAGGGGAGGGCCAGACCTCCAGGAAACACACTTCTGCTTTCCTCTGTGCGCACGCCGCTTCCGCCTTCTGGGCTGTTCTCCCAGAGCCGCTCAGACAGAGAGGACGCTGAGGGGGCAGAGTGGTTGTACAGGTGCCACTTGGAACCGGGTATTCACCCATGTAGCCTCCGTTGACTACAGACTCCATAGCTTTTTCCAGTCAAGACACACACCCCAACTCCCCCATCATGGCCATCCTCACAGGCCTGTCTGTTCACCCCCTCACACATCCCCGGGGACAGAGAGGAGGGTTACTTCCCTGCTGGTCATGACCCGTAACTCCTCCTTCACTTACTTGTGGTCATGACGAACAGCCCTGCCGGAGGAGCAAGCAAGGACAAGAGGTTCCCTCTGAGCCTCGGGGTGTCCATCCTGAGACGGTGTCCTGGGCAGCTTCTCCAGCCCCATAGCCTCCCAGCTCCAGGTCCGAACCCCCACATTGGACCTCAGGCCCCAGAGTTCCAGGATGGCTGCTCGTCTGGATCGCACGTCCTCGGGTGGGGCTCTCCTTCCCTGCTTGTGGGGCCCCCGCTGGGCACAAAGCAGGGACTCCACACACTTGCTGCACCGCCTTGTTTCACACACGCATGGAAATCTCACGGTAAATGCACCCACTCATTCCTGGTGTCCTGAGTGGGCCAGGACTTCTACAGAGATACTGCGCTGGTTTGAACCCCCAACCTTGAAGTGTGCAGCTGTTCCCCCAAGCCACTGGCAGCCCCTTGGGCCATTTGTTGTCCCCAAGGGGCTCCCTCTTTACTGTTCATGAGAGGCGAGGGGACAATAGATGTCAATACGGAGAACAATGCTGTCCAAATCATCCTTGATGGGGTGGGAATCTCTTTAAAGCTCACTGCCACCCACTCCAGCCTGACTCACAGCCACAGGACAGAGTAAGGCTACCCTGTGAGTGGCTGAGACTGGAGCTCTTTGTGGGAGGAGACAGCCTCAGTCTCTCTCCCGTGGAGCAGCTGTTGGCCTTGAACTGTTGGCCTTGCCCTTGGCAGCCCAACGCATCGCCAGGACGCCACCAGGGCTCCTGGGAAATCTCTTTAGGATCCTAGAAAACCCTCTGAGCCTTTGGAGGGCAGTTCAGGGAGGGGGAAAGGCTCAGGGGAATTGATCCCAACCTCATCTCTCAATCACCCCAATAAGTCCACAGACACTAAAGAACCCACAAAGGAGTAGACGTGCAGAGATAAGAGCTGCTGCGAGGGTTTATGGGGGCAGGAGAGGGGGAGATGGGGAAGGAGACGGGGGTGAGGAAACAAACAATGCATGTGGGAGCGGGGAAGGAGCACTAGATCCGATGGTGATAGTACAACTCGTTTTAAAAGCGATCTAACCATGGGGAGGGGAAACGTGCTAAACCTGATTGAGGCGATGATTATACAACTCTTCTCGAAACGACTGGAATATTGAATTGTGTGACGTGTGGGTTCAGTGCCAATGAAACTGTCCAAAGGGTCAATGGACCGAGGGAAGGCGGCAGGTGGCATTGCGAGCACGAGGGAGGGGGCACGTTCCCCAGTCCTTCCTGCTGGCGTCACTACACGTCACACAGAGGGGAGCCGACCCCAGGAGTCTCGGGGCTAAACCCCGTTTTTCATGCAGGGAGTGGAGACCCACAATCTTGAAGCTCCAAACCCTTGGTCTGGCTCCCAGCAGGACCACGTGGGAGGAGGTGAGTCTTTCTGGACAGATGGGCAGGAGCGTTGAGTCCCTGCTGACCGCAGAGTCCCCAGGCAAGATGGGGGGGGGGGGGAGTGGTTGTGGCGCCTCTCAGAAGAACTTCCCTTTCCCAGGCAGTTTCTCAGGGCCACCCTGTCCCCAGAGGCATGTGGCAATCTGGTCACCCTCATCCCCTCTGTCTCTTCCTCACAGGAGTTGAAAGGCTGAGGCCAGGGCTGAGGATGCCCGGTGCCCAGTGGGTGCTGTCCAGGTGCGACCAGGAGACCGGGCTTCCAGGGCTGAAAACCGAGAAGCGCTTGGTCTGTGTGGCCAGTGGTGATGGGAAGAAGTGCTGCACAGATAGGAGAGGGGGTGCTGGTGGGGGGATACTGCTCACCAGGGGGCCCTGGCAGCCGCAGGAGTTCAGCTAAGTAAGTGCCAAGGTCCACGGGAGAATGAGAAGCGGGGAAGCGGGCCTGCAGGGCAAGCCTGGTGGATTGAGTCCGAATGAGTCCAGTTCCCCTTCTGAGGAGCTTGAGTTCCAGTGTGACCCACAGTTCCCAGGCCCCACCCACACCAGCGTCCTGCCCCCTCCTCCTGAGCGTGACTGTGGTGGAGAGGGAGAGGGAGAGGGAGGCAGGTCAGCAGACGGGTGACAAGCCCAGGCACAGGCTGAGGAGTCCCTGCTGTCCCCCTCAGGGCACCTGGAGCCTTCAGTCCACAGACCCCCTCATCCTCTGCGCAGGCCCTGGACAGGAGGAAAGTAAGATTGACTTCCAACAAGACATCCCCAAGGAGAAGTCACATGGACCTATCCCGATGCAGCCTTGGGTGCTGGAGCAGCCATGTGGAGACCCCTGCTAGTGCTGAGATGCTTGTTCGTTCACTGACTCAGCTTTCCTCCTACAGTCGGCATCATTGCCTCTGTTTTGTGAGGTGGAGGACTTTGTGGACTGGTGTTGGGTTAATGGGTTAATGTTGGACTTGTGGGCTTGGGCAGCATTGGGTTGGGATGTTTTCGTGATGCACACTTTCTTTACATAAAACTCTCTTATACATGAGTTGCTGTGGATTTGTTTCTCTAAAGTACCTAGACTAATACAGCAGGATAAGCAAACCTGAGGAGAAAATAGGCCGACAGCTCCAGGAGGACATGGGAGAGGAGGAGGTGGGAGAAGGGGGCAGCCAACAAGCCCAGGGACAAGGGAACAATAAGAGATCTAAATTCGCTGGCAAGGAGTAGAATGCCTGGTGGGGTTTAATCAAGTGCAATGTATCTGAGAGAAAGTACTGAGCCAAATGAAGGTCGAACATAATAGTGGGACAGGAGGAAAGTAAAACGAAATAGAGGAAATAACTAGGAGGCAAAAGACATTTATAGAGGTATATATATAGGCATTGTGATAGTTAGGTTTACTGTGCCAACTTGGCCAATAGGAATATGTGGGATTAATCAGGTCACAGTTTGATTGGAGGGCAAAGAGATAAATGGCTCTGCAAGGTTCCCCTCCCCCACACACCTCTTGCTCTCTGGTGATCAGAGGGTGCTGCTGCTTTAGCTAGTTCTCTGCCTCAACCTGTGAGCTACACCACCTGTGGGCCAGGCCAGCCCATGGATCCTGTCGCCAGAGCTTGAGGCTCCTACAAGACCCGCTTTGCCACGCTGCTGGTGCATACATCGCTTGAGCTTGGGGCTGGTGGATCCTGTTGCCTTGCATTGCTTGTGTTGGCTATCCCATCCAGACCTGATTCGCTAAGCTCCCGAGCTGCTGACTGTTGGTGACCCACCCTGCTGTTTGCTGCCTGTGGGAAGATTCTGCTTGCTTTGCCAGAGGAAGAACTCCACTGTCTGCTTCCTTGACCTTGGACCTGGCAGCCCATTGAGAGTTTAAGGACTTCCAGCATATTCACTATCCTGCTGTGTGGACTAATTAACTGTGATATTCCTTCTTGCTGTATAAGCATATATATTATATATATAATATATATATCATAAGTGTTCTGGTTTTGTTTCTCTAGAGAACCCTGCCTAACACAGGCATCCGCATATGTAAAAATATTAATATATAATGATAAGGATATAGGTCTATGTACATATATTTAAATGTTAAGTATTAAGGTAGGAGATGAACCTAAGTTCTCTGTTCAAGTACTCCCTCAACACAAGAACACTTTGTTATAATAATGTGGCATTCTGTGATGCTCACCTTCCTGACACAATCGCTGAAATAAAAATGGATACATAAGCAAATGTGGTGAAGAAAGCTGATGGTGCCCAGATATTAAAAGATATAACGTACAGAAAGGACCACAGAGCTGGCCCCACCACGAGACACAACATCCCTCACTGACCCATAGCACTACGGGGGACAACACTGGAGACACAGTGTGGGAATTGTGCCCAATCTGACCCCACCACACCAAGGCAAAATGCTAAGAGTGTGCAACAGAACAGCAAGGGGAACATAGCAAAGAAGTCTCCAGGGAATACCAAAAATAGACTTTGGGGCCAGGGCGTGGCACCCCATCAGATTTGACCGGAAAACACTCCTAAAGGACAACAAACAGACCTTGAACTATTTCTGCACTTTTCTTTTTTGCTGTTGGTTTTGTTTTCGTTTGTTGCTTTTTTTGCTGTCTTGTTTTTGTCCATAGTATTGTCTCTGCAGGTCTATCTAGATAAGATAGGCTGGATAAACAATCCAGAGGAGAAAACAACAGGACCAATGGTGGTGGTGGGGGGGGCATGGGAGAAAGGAAGT